ATGAGAGGTCCAAGCTTGATAGTAAGTCAAGACAATGTATTTTTCTTGGCTATGGGCGTGATGAATTCGGGTATAGATTGTGGGATCTGGTCAACAAGAAAGTCATTCGAAGCCGTGATGTTGTGTTTCTTGAAGACCAAACAATTGAAGACTTTGGCAAAAGTGATCAACCGGAGCCAAAAACTAGTGATCTCATTGATATGGATCCATCTCCTTCATCTTCAGTTGATAATGAAAATGGGGGAGATGTGCAGCCACCTATTGAAGATGTAGAGGATGATGCTAATCCTAATGAAGTTGTGCCAAAAATTGAGGAAGAGCATCCAACTCAAGAACCGCCACCACAACTTGAGTTGAGGAAATCTACTAGGGACCGGCAACTTTCGAGAAAATATCCTCCCAAGGAGTTTGTGTTGATTTCTGATCAAGGGGAGCTCGAGAGCTACCAAGAAGCAATTGAGCATGCAAAGAAAGCTGATTAGAAAAAGGCCATAGAAGAGAAGATGAATTCCTTACTTGAAAATCAGACCTATGATTTAGTGAAGTTGCCTAAGGGGAGGAAAATTCTAGAAAATAAGTGGATTTTCAAATTGAAGAATGATAGCAAGAATCTAAGATACAAAGCACGCCTTGTTGTAAAAGGCTTTGGGCAAAAGAAAAGTATTGACTTTGATAAGATTTTTTCGCCGGTTGTGAAGATATCTTCTATTCGGGTTGTACTTGGCATGGCTGCAAGTATGAACCTTGAAGTTGAGCAACTTGATGTAAAGACCGCATTTCTTCATGGTGACCTTGAAGAAGAAATTTACATAGAGCAACCAGAAGGGTTTTGTGGAAAAAGGAAAGAGAAATTTGTTTGCAAATTGAAGAAAAGTTGTATGGCCTCAAGCAAGCCCGCGGCAATGGTACAAAAAATTTGACTCTTTCATGATAAACAATGGCTTTTCTAAAACCACTTCGGACCATTGTGTGTTTGTGAAAAAATTTTCGAATGGTAAATTTATTATTCTTTTGCTTTATGTTGATGACATGTTAATTGTGAGTCAAGATTACACTATGATTAACAAGTTGAAATCAGAGTTGAGTAAGACTTTTGCTATGAAAGATTTGAGACCGGCAAAGCAAATACTTGGTATGAAAATTGTTCGTGATCGCAAAGAGGGGCTGATTTGGTTGTCTCAAGAAAGCTACATTGAGAAAGTTCTTGAGAGGTTCAATATGAATAAAGCAAAGCCGGTTGGTTGTCCACTTGCAGGTCACTTCAAGCTTAGTTCGAATCAATGTCCTACAAGTGAGAAAGACAAGGAAGAGATGTTGAAAGTTCCTTATGCTACAACAGTTGGTTCTTTGATGTACGCCATGGTTTGTACATGGCCGGATATTGCTCACGTTGTTGGTGTGGTGAGTCGGTTTCTCTCTAATCCAAGTAAAGAACATTGGGCAGCGGTAAAATGGATTCTAAGGTATCTTCGAGGGACTTCGAAGGTGTGTTTGTGTTTTGGGAATGGTAAGCCGATGCTTGATGAGTTCACAGATTCTGACATGGCCGGTGATATTGATTCTAGGAAATCTACTTCGGGGTATTTGATGACTTTTGCAGGGGGAGCTGTGGCATGGCAATCTAAATTACAAAAATGTGCTACTCTCTCAACTACCGAAGCTAAATTTATTGCTATTACAAAAGCTTGCAAAGAAGAGTTATGGTTGAAGAAATTTTTGCAAGAGTTGGATTTGAAGCAAGAAAAGTATGTGCTTTATTGTGATAGTCAAAGTGCTATTCAATTAAGTAAAAATTCTACTTTTCATTCGAGATCGAAACACATTGATGTGAGATACCATTGGATTCGTGATGTGTTAGATTCGAAATTTTGGCAACTCGAAAAGGTTCACACAGATGATAATATTTCGGATATGTTGACTAAGACTTTGTCAAGGGACAAACATATAAAGTGTCGAACTTTGGCAGGTATGATTGATGTCTCCACCTAAGTCGATAGGGGGAGAATTGTTGGGGTATATCTCCTTATTGGAGTTTGAGACCCAATTGGTTTGTTAAAAAATTTTAATTTGGTTTGGTTTAGTTATAATATATTTTAATATATTATATCTAGTTTTTTTGGAGACCTAATTCAATTTGGTTACAACTAAAGTTTTGATAAAACAAGTCTTAGATTTAACAATATATATATATATATATATTGTTTATTCTTCACAAAAGGTAGGTACGGCTTTTACAAATTTTGTTCAACCTTTTTCTGAAGTGTTGTGCGGCTGGTTTGTGTGTGTACAAGCTGGGTAATCAATTCGGTGGACTTGCTTTATGTAGCAACAATTTGTTTGATATAAATTCAAGTCAGTGGATTGTTTTCAAGCACGGTTTAAGGGCTTTGACAACTTTGGCGCACATAAGGTGTTGATTTGAGTTGTTATTTTGGGTTTTCTACAACTCTATTTCGAAGATTTTGGTTCATCTATTTGGTGAGATCTTTCCTCTTGTTTATTTGTGATTATTTGGAATTCACCTAAGAGTGATTTTGTGAAACCATTTGTGTCTCGTTCGTAATCGTTTGGAAACTTATTTGGTTGATAGTGGAATCAGATTTCGATCCCGTGGACGTACCTCACATTGACGGAACCACGTAAAATTCTTGTGTTGCTTTTGATTTAATTTTTCCGCATTAGTTTTTATTCCCATTGATTGATTTACTTGTGGAGAATCACATATTTTCCCTAACACATCCATTATATCTCATTCACTACTCACCTTCTCCTTGTTTTTATGTACCCATTGCAGATCACTTAAAAAATTTGAAACCCAAGTTTTTTTTTTGTTGTCTACCGTCCCTCATTTTCATATGAAAACAAATCCACGTTTCTATCGATTCAGACCACTAATACATCATCACTAAAAGCAGTACTAATTACGTGACAGCGTAAGAAAAAAAAAAAAACAAAACAAACAAACAAACAAAGGTCAAACTATCACATCAGTGTAGGGTCCACATCTCGCCACGTCATTAATGGTCTATTTAGTGATGTTAAATTAATGGTATAAAGCATTTTTTCTATAGAACACAAAGGTGATACCATCATTTCACTTTAAAAATATTCATATTTAAAACAATGACGTGTGAAATTTCATACGTCTACAAACAAAACAATGAAACATCCGCCTTATGTTGTTATGAAATTTCACACTTGTCCTCTGTCTCACTTTAAAAATAAATAAATCTCATACAAGTGTTAAATTTTTACCTTTCCAAATAAAAAAAAGGTGCAATATCCATCTTCTAGAAGTGTGAAATATCATTCTCATCATAGTGTGAAATTTCACATTTTCACATTGTTTTATTATAGAAGTAAGAAATTTAAATTTGAAAAAATAAATGTCATAAAAAATTTAAATTCCACTTTCACTAATATAAAACTGTCCATCTCAAACGAGTGTAAATTTCATACTTCTACGCATGAAATTGAGAAACATTCAACTGATATAAGTTTGAAATTTCAAACTTTCACAAGCAAGGTATTTCACAATTACAATTTCACAATTTTACATTGTCCCATTATAAACGTAAGAAATTTCTAGAGTAATTATATGTTTGAATCAAGTTTATCTTAGAAAAAATAGATGACAATTATAATTTCAAGAGTAGCAACCTATTTTTTCTAATACAAATGTGATTTAAACATATAACTACTGATTCTGATCATTTTAATTTTTTGCATGAACATTTTATTCAACGAATACTAAAGTGAATGGTTCAGATCACCGAGGTCAATCCCAAAATGGGCCTATCAACTCCAAACACTCTCTCAAGTTGAGATGGCCAACTTGAGATAATTCAAACCCCTTTCTTTCTCAATTACAAGTTACGACTTGCAAGCACTACAGGAAATTAGAGTTTTAGCGGCAAAGCCTGAAAAACGCCGTCAAATGTTACAGCAACGTTTAATATTTTCGTCACTGATACGGCCGCCGCAATAGCTTTGCAACGTTTGAAAAACGTCGCTAAAAATATTAGACGGCATTTTTGAAAATGCCGCAAAATCTTTGACACTGTTGGAACTTCTGTTACTAACAGATGACGTCACAATGACGTCATTTAGTGGCGTTTTTACCAAAAATGCCATTTTTTGTTATTATTTTTTTTTTGTGGGTGTGTGATACCATATAAAACTGAAGAAACAGACCAACTCAATTCCCATCAGTTGCTTTTGCAACAACTCATACAATGAAGCAAAGATGACATACTATTCAATCCAAAGTACCAATACAAATTAACAGCTTTAAGCATCAATACAAATTAACAACTGGTAGCTAATCTAACAACAATACACAATACTCTAATAGCAATTCACTACATCAAGCAGTTCCAAAAGCTGCTTCTCACAACTGGTCACATCAACCCAAACTTCCACCTGAGTTGTCAGCTTGTCTCCAAGGTGTTCAGAATTTGCAAGTGTGTGCCGATTAGCACCAATATTTAGATTGACAACCTTTGACAAGGAACAACAAAAGAAGATGTTAATAAGTATATAAATAAAGATTATAAACTACGATTCATATTACATACTTGACTACAATGTGTGTTAACTGAGCATTGGGATGGCTAAATCACATAATTACCCAATGGTCCTTGAAATTAAAAACCTAATAATTTTTCTAATGTTTTAACATGTCCGCTGTTGGATTTCCAAAATATTATAAAGCTTTTATCTAGTCAAAACTCAAAACACACTAGCTCTACGTAGAGCTGAGTAAAAAGTCATGGATATATGCAGGGTGTAGTCAACCCTAAGTAATTGGAATTAAGGCTTGTCAACTTGAATCAAGTAATCTAAGCAAAGCAAAACCTCAAAATGAAGTGTCAAACCATTACAGACCGAAACCAAAACACTTCCAAAAACAGTAAACAAAAAACAAACTACAAAACAGAGACCACCTTTCTCTTGGAGAAGATTGATCACACTAACTTGACTAAAATATTGTTCCTTTTTGTCAAAACGCTAATTGGTTAAGAAAAAGTCTCTCAAAAAACTTAATATATATTCCCAGTAAGTATTACTATCTCTATTTCATGTATCACATGGATCTTCTAAAGTAAAACACCTTATAATAGGGGAAACAAAATAAAAAGAGTGACATACCATGGTACACAACAGGTTTGATTCCATGTTCTTTCAAAAATACAATTGTAGGTGCAGTTTCCACTCCAAACCTGTTGTTGATAAGAAGAACATCGTCAAGGTCATACATTATTTTGGGGAAAAAGGAACAAAAAAGTAGAAAAAGGAATAAAATCCTATGACTGTGTGTGCATATTCAATCAATAAGAGAGATAATAATAAAATATAGTTCATCCAAAACAATATATACACAAACCAAACTAATAAATTCCAATGAGGAAAAACAGTAGCATCACCAATGAAGAAGGAGAAACAGCAGCATCACCAATGACAATGCAAAAATGAAGCATCACCAATGAAGAAGGAAAAACAGCAGCATCACCAATGACAATGAAAAAATCAAAAAGATGTTTTCAAGCATAACATAATCAAATAGAACCTGTAGTAGAAGTATTAGCTACGTACAATCTTTATAGCACTAACGAATTACCAAATTTACATGAATGGGAAACAGACACACATGTATTCAACCATATGGAGTAGAATTTCTCTTTCCTTTCCACTTTGATTGGTAAAAGGAAGAGACTCCTAAACACATCACAAAGAACTAGAGGATAAGGAGGATGAAGAATAAGGAAGGCACTAACAGAAACTCATTACAAAGATTGTATACTGAGGTTTATTATGACAACCTAACAGAAACTCATAGGATCCCAAGACCAAAGAAAAAAATCCAAGTGAATAGTAAAGGCACTACATCAAAATAAGTGTAAGCTACCAATACATGCTTTAGCAATTAATACGCACTCCTACTTTCCACTCCATGTCTGTTTAAAATTAAAAAAAATAAAAATAAAAAAATAAAAAAAAAATTTATATGCACTCCTACTTTCCATTTTCCAGATCTAGAATTACATTCGACATAGTAGGTGACAATGATACTAAGGTAAGTAATCAATATAGCTCCAACATAATTGACTTGCAACCGAAAAGTTTAGGCATAATTTGGTCAAGAGAATACCTTCAGAAGTGCAACAAAATCAGGAGATCGATGGAATGCAGCAAGTATGAATTTTAAGAGCCTCTTTTGAACCTACATGCATAAATCACAATGCATTGTGAATGTTTCAAGTACAAAAATAATTTCAGCATTTAGATAACAACCGGCAGAGATATGTGATGTAGTACAAGTAGAGATAGAGAAAGAAGCAGCAGAGAAAGGGGAGAAGAAGAATGAGAATCAGATAGAAGATAGAAGCAGAGACAAGAAGAGATGGTGAGAGTGTCTAATGGGAAAAGAGAGAGAGAGAGAGAGAGAGAGAGAGAGAGAGGTAGGTACAAAAATTCTTAATAACTTCAATTATGCCACAATCTAATAAAATTCATACACCAACACTATGTATATATAAGGCTAACGAATAAAAATAAATAGATATACTCAAAATAACTCATGAACATATTTAAACTCCTAAATAACTCAAACTCTCAATTATTGATGCCTTATCGATCTTCATCAATTCTCCCCACTAAGAAGAACTCCCATATGGAGAATAAAGAGAAAGATAGCACTCAAATTATTCAAAATTAAAGTATCAAAGATTGTCCTTAACAATCGGAGTGGCAACAATGATGAAGCCAGAGCATATTATTCATTTATTTCAAATCAATGATGAACCCAACACCATTCCAATTAGAAAAACTTCAATCATTTCCAATTCCTTTGAAACCAAAAATAAAAAAATAAACTAAAATAAAATAAACTTGAATAATAATTTGAATCTTTTTTTTAAAAAAAAAACCCCCCACTCAAAACACCCTAAACTCCTTGACATAAATTTACACCAAATTGAATTTTACTCCAATATTTACCAAATCAAGAAATTCTCAAATCTATATTCAAAATTAAATTCTAAACTAAGGTCACAAATTTTCCACTCTGCCATTAGTTTTTACAATACAGATTCAAGTAGCCCCCTTCTTTTTATGATTGAAAATAAAGAGCAAATCCCAAGTAATATTGCAATTCTAACAGCATATATATATATATATATAACTGTATACACAAAGAAGAGAGAGAGAGAGAGAGAGAGAGAGAGAGAGAGAGAGAGATCTAATAAAAACTTACAGATTTGAGAAGCCAAATCTCAAACAGGTTTCATGTAGATTAATCGACCAATTGATGAACCTAAACAAATTGAGAAGCCAAATCTGAGTTAGAATGTAAAAAATCTATTAAAAATAAAAAAACCTAAACAAATTGAAACTCACAAAATCGAAAGAGACAACTGCAAATCTGGAGAATCAACCTTCGAATCTTCAAGAATCAACTTTCAAATCTGATGAAGAGATGAGTACAGAGAGTGAGAGTGAGAGTGAGAGTGAGAGTGAGAGTGAGAGTGAGAGAATTCGAGCAAGAGCGAGAGTGAGACTGCGACAGAGAGAATTCGAGCGAGAGCGAGAGTGAGAGAAACTGCAAATCTGGAGAATCAACCTTCGAATCTTCAAGAATCAACCTTCAAATCTTCGACAAACTTCATAGATCTGATGAAGAGATGAGTACAGAGAGTGAGGGTGAGACTGAGAGAGAGAGAGAATTCGAGCAAGAGCGACAGTGAGACTAAGACAGAGAGAATGAGAGCGAGAGCGAGAGCGAGAGTGAGAGACAACTGCAAATCTGGAGAATCAACCTTCGAATCTTCAAGAATCAACCTTCAAATCTTCGACAAACTTCATAGATCTGATGAAGAGATGAGTATAGAGAATGAGAATGAGACTGAGAGTGAGAGAGAATTTGAGCAAGAGCGAAAGTGAGAATGACACTGAGAGAGACTTCGAGCGAGGCTGAGAGTGAGAGTGAGAGTGAATTCGAGCAAGAGTGAGAGAGAGGGAGGGAGACAGGATATGTAACGACGTCAGATATGCACCCACAACAGCACTGTTTTGAAATTTAATTAACACAGCATTGTAGTTTTTAATTTTTAATTGATCAATGATGGCGTTTTAATAAAAATGCCATAAAAAAAATGTTGTCGTAGCTTGTTTTTGTTATAGTGAAGGTATAGTACTATTGGAAAAAATTTATTATTTATATTTTTACGGTATTGGTTTGAATCATTTTTGCTTTAAATTTGAAAGAAACTATATAAGGTATTATCTGTAAAATTCTCTCAAGCTCATGGGATTTAATTAAATTGTTGACTTTGTATGTAATTACATCATATCTTAAGCTCACAGTATCATTTTATTTTTGCCATCTAAGTCTATTTTCATCATTAAAATAATTCTAGTTAAAGCTATTTCAAGTTTAGTTCATCTTCTTCATCAGAAGTGTATTCAGAGTCCGATTTATATTTTGACGTAAGTTCTTTTACTTCATTGTCAAGTTCTATTTCATATCCCTATATAGGTCCATATTTTGCTTTAGAAAATAATAATTGTTTAAGATATTAAATTATGAATCATTTGCAAATTTCAAAACTCAGCAGTTAACACCTTTAGGGCATGTTTGATTGGGTGGATTAGAGCATAGGATTAGGATTATTAATCCGTGGGCCCAATTATCCTATGTTTGTTTTAATATTTTGATTTAGGATTATTAATCCAATGGATAATTAATCCAACAAATTTGTAGGATTATTAGTAATAGGGTAGGGGTGGGATTATTAATCCAATGGATATTAATCCAATTGGATAGTGAATACTACACTAATTTTATAAGATTATTAATACTTCACTATTAGTCTTGTGAATCAAACATGACCTTAAAGTATTATCTTATTACAGTTAACTATTTTTATTAGGATTTTGTTACAAATTTACAGAAAATTAGATTATGTGTAAAATACATGACATATTTATTAAATTTTTAGGACAATAATACTCATTATTGATTGTTTTAGAATAATATTTTTTTATCAAATGATTTTATTTTCACTTTGCCTCCCTTATTTTAGTGGCAAAGTGCAAACAAAATCACCAAATAAAGGCTTTATTGCCCTAAAAATTTAATAAATGTTTCATATGCTTTACACAATGATCTAATTTTCTATAAATTCCTAATAGAATCCTAACAAAAAGAGTTAACTGAAATAATATAATATTTTGATGGAGTTACCTGTTGAATTTTAAAGTTCAACGGGGCAAAATGTAAATGGGTTATAGTTTATGGGGGTTTATTGTAATTTACCCTTATTTTATTTGTTTGTTAGGATTTTATTTGCAAAATTCCCTTCTCTCTACAAAGCCAACATTCACACTCTTCATGAAATTTCTCTACAATAAATTAAGATTTTATATTCAAAATTTTCAGGACAAAATCACTTTTTTATGGATGAAATATGTTTGTTGGCAAAAGTTCATTATTATATTTTTTTTGTTATAAAATTGGACATTTGTGACGAACTATTATCTTTTGGGACTGTAGTTTCTGTCTAAACAAAAAAACCTTTCTGGGATCAAATTAAAAATTTCATTTATTAGCGACATTTTTAATTTTTGTCGCCAAAAACCTTATTTTTGACTTTTTAGAATAACATTTTAGTAACTATCTTCGCAACGATAAGAATTGACCTCCAAATGGTTTTTTTGTAACAAAATTCACTTTTGGGGATAAAAAAAATTTGGCCCTTAAAATTCTTGTATTTTTTTTTTTTTTAACATAGAGGCTTCTTGATGCTCATGAAAGAAGTTCTTAGCTTTTTATTAAAATTTCAAAAGTTACTAAATTTTTAATAAAACCTTTTTTTATTTTTAAGAGAAATTTTCTTTATTTCTCTTAGTTCTTTAGATATATTTCACTACTAATGATATTATGATTTCTACATATAATTAAAGTTTCATTTCTAAGTTTGAGGATCTTGAAAGGTCATAAAAAGTAACTTAAAATTAAAATTAGATTATGAAAATATATCAAATAAGCTAAGGCTATTTTGTGATTTATGAAAACCTAGACTGCTTTGTTCTTTTTCATAAGATGATACCTATAACACTAGTTAATTTTCTAAAGCATTGTGAAGGGAATAATGCCCCGGGCCGGATGGGTTCAACTTGGCATGCATCAAAAAATGTTGGAATTTTATGAATAGTGAAGTGGTTCAACCTATGAAAGATTTCCATGCTAATGGGATGTTGGCAAAAGAAATCAACAGTTCCTTTATCACATTGATACCCAAAAAGGATAGCCCTAGCAGCTTGAATGAGTATATCACATTGTTGGGCTCAACATACAAAATTCTTGCTAAGTTATTAGCTAAGAAGTTGAAGAAAGTACTACCAGAAATCATAAGTTACGAACAAATAGCCTTTTTGGGGGATAGAAATATTTTGGATGCAGTAATGATAGCAAATGAGGTGGTGGACTGGTGAAAGAAGTCAAGGAAGAAAGGAATTATTCTAAAGTTAGATTTTGAGAACGCTTATGATTCAATCAATTGGAATTTCCTGTTTTCTATGTTTTCTAACTTTAGGGTTGGAGATAAGTGGCTAAACTGTAACTACTTCAAAGATTTCTCTATTGGTCAACTGATGAATTTGCCCCTCAATGAGGCTTGCGGCAAGGAGACCCCTTGTTCCCTTTATTGTTCAACATTGCAGCTAAAGGCCTTCATTTACTAATAGAAAGGGCAAAGGAGATGGGTTTATTCAAAGGGGCAGTAATTGGGACCTCTGTGTTAAGTATTTCACACCTCCAATTTGCAAATGACATTATAATTTTCTATGAAGCAGAATGAGATGAGGTTTTAGCTAGTAAAAGGATCCTCAGGTGTTGTGAAATTATGTCAGGTCTCAAGCTCAACTACGGCAAAAATGTGGTCTGTGGGGTGGGTGTGAATGAAGCAACCATCAATGACCTTGCTACTAAACCAAATTGTCTTCATCAGAAACTCCCTTGCTAATTGGAAATGGCAACAGGATCCATTTCTGGGCTGAGAATTGGTTCTTGAATTTTAAATTTAAAGATGAATTCTCCAAATTGTTTAGTCTTGCAATTAATAAAGGTGAGTCCCTAAGGGCATGTTTTGAAAAAAATGATTAGTCAGGTGAGTGCATCTTCTCTTTTAGAAGACCTCTCCTAGTTTGGGAGAAAGAAGAGGTGGACAAACTTAAAGAGATACTGGTTGTAATGCCTGACCTTAGACATAATTACCTTGATGAGCTTAGATGGAATGTAACCTTTTCAGGCCTTTTACTGTGGCATCAATTAGAAAATGGTATGAAGTCAGGTTTGGGCCTAAATTCAAAATTCCTAAGCTACTGTGGTGGAATGTTGTTCCTGTAAGTTTTCTAAATGAAACTGTATATTATATTGAATTAATTGAACAAAGAATACATCACTTATATAAAGCACTAATTCCTAATCCTAAACTAATACACCACTGATATAGAATTCTAATAGATATAGAACATCTAATAGATATAGAACACAAAGTCCTAATCCTAAAAGGAAAAAGGAGAACACTGAATATAGGCATATTCTTACACCCTCACTCAAACTCAAGGTGTTTTAGCAGAAAACACTGAGAGTTTATCAAGAAAAAATTGAAACCGAGCAGTGGTGTGAGTCTTGGTGAAAAAGTCAGTAAGTCACAGATTCGAAGAGACAAAAGGCAGTGAGATAAAGCCAGACTGCAGATGCTGATGGACGAAGTGACAATCAATCTCAAAATATTTTGTCCCTTCATGGAAGACAGTGTTATGAGCAATTTGAATAGCACTTTGGTTGTCACAATAGAGAGAGGTCAGGGAAGACTGAAGGACGCCCAAGTCAGATAAGAAACCACAAAGCTAGACAATTTCAGCAGTAGCATGAGCCATAGCATGATACTCAGCTTCGGCAGTAGAACGGGCAACAACAGCTTGTTTCTTGTGTTTCCAAGAAATCAGGAAATCGTCAAGAAACATACATACACCAAAAGTAGATTTACAATCATTAACATCACCAGTCCAATCAGCATCAACATAGGCCACCAAATCTAAGGAAGAAGTAGAAGAGAATAGCAAGCCCTGAAAGATAGTACTGCGAAGATAGCGAAGAATCTGAAGCAAAGCAGCCCAATGTGTAGAGCGAGGAGCAGAAACAAACTGACTAACCACATGGACA